TGTGACAAACTGTTTCGTCGGAGTTTCACCGATATGTATATATATATATACTCGTCGCATGATTTCTCGTGGCCATTCCCCACCAACCCTCGCTAAAGGATGGACCTGCTACACACGCTCCCGCCAACGTCGCTATCCTACACATGTCACCCGTCTCTCTCARTGGTTCCRACGCATGCTGCGATGGTCCTTGCATCACCCACTTTCTTCTTTATCCCCACATCGCGCTCGTCCTGTCACTGCTTGTTCATCTGCTGCTAATGCAGTTCCCACTCTTGCGGTTCCCACCGCCGCCGCTTCCACCGCTGTGGTCTCCATTGTTGCACTTTCTATATTACTGTTTCAACTCCGGGTTTCACTCCAACAGTTTCTGCTACGGAAGTTGCCTCCGCTGCTCGTCCTGTCACTGCTTGTTCATCTGCTGCTAATGCAGTTCCCACTGTTGCGGTTCCCACCGTCGCCGCTTCCACCGCTGTGGTCTCCACTACTGCAGTTTCTACTGTTGCTGCCGCTGTGGTCTCCACTGCTGCAGTTTCTACTGCTGCTGTTTCAACTCCGGGTTTCCCTCCAGCAGTTTCTACTACGGAAGTTGCCTCCGCTGCGGTCCCTGCTACGGAAGTTGCCTCTGCTGCGGTTCCTACTACAACACTTGTCTCTGCTGCGGTTCCACTTTTTACGACTTCCTCTGCTTCTGTACCTCGAATTTCTCATGCTATAGTTTTTACTGGTATAGCTTCCTCTACCCCAGCCCGACACTCGCGTCCTATGTTCCGACATCTTGCCGAATCCACCCCCCTTTCATCCCTTTCTGTGCTTGGCCGCAGACGGATGCGTTCCTCCTCGCCACCTCCATCTCCTCCACGGTCTCGTTTGAGAACCGATTCTCCGGTTTCTATTCTTCCCATTGTTCCGCCTTCATTGCCAGTGACATCTTCTGTTAGAAACATCGCCACTCCTCTTATTGTGTATCATCGTCGACGACATGCACAACATCGCCACTTGGCCAGGGATCAGCGGCCTGCTTCTKTGTCTACCCCAATTCTCTCTGTGCCTCCTCCACGGGTTGTTGCGGTTCCGTTGTCCCAAACGGATACATCCGCTCCTATGCCTCCTGSAGACAGTCCAGCTGCTTGCACACAGCCACAACACCATGTTTTATGCCCTTCCATGTTCGTTTGTCCCCCAGCTGTGCAACAGGATATGGTCCCTGCCCAGAGTACACTCCCAACGACAGTCCCTACTCACGATGTGGCCCCGAATGCTGAGGGCCTGGGACATGATCAGCTCGGACTGCATTTAACCCCGCAAGGCATAGACCACACGTGAGATTTGCAAATGGCTGACCAGGATCATATGGATGAACCGC